GCATCTAGCCCAGCCAATAAACGCACCAACTGCCTTTTTTCGTAGCTAAATAGTGGAAAGCTGAGTTTGTTATATGTGATGGAACCACTTAAGACGTGTATTTTGCAAAAAGTTCCTGAATCTAACCCCCCCCACCCCCTCCAACCCCCTCCAAACCTGGAAGTATCAGTTGTTAACTTTACTGGATATAATTCAAATACTACGCATGCCATGTAGTGAAATTTGGTTTAGTATTATTTATAATTAGTTTATCTACAACTGTTGTACTAAAGATTTTCTTATAAAACTAAATCCATAGAGATATAACGTTTAATTTTTTTTATGTTTATGAGTACACAATTTTGTTTTACCCTCTATATATTTTATTCCAAATAAAATACGCAAAATGTTACAAACAAAAATTTTTGTATGTTTCTTAACGTTTATAAATATATATTTGATTAGTCATCAGCATCCGCGCAGCCCCGCCCGTCGATACATAGCCTAATAAGGACCGGCAACGCTAAGTTCTCAACTGTTTTATATAAATCCTAAGACTTCCTAATTTGTAGCCTACATTACTACCAAAACAATCTGTTTCCAAGCTAAACACTGACTAAATGAATCACCTCACGGTCAGTAAAAATTATTCTTCGACTCACTAATCCTTGATACAAACTGCGGCCTATCGTTGAGATATGTCTCTCTCTTCACGCTTCCCGCTAGCAAATAAAATATGGCTGCTCTGCCATGAGTTGTAAGCCTGTGTTAAAATAATATTACGAACAACGTAGAAAACTGTCGGTAGTATTTATAAGCCATTTTTTATCATGGTAAGGAACACAAATTAAAACCAGTCAATATTAAAACTAACTTTTTTATTAAGTCTATATAGAGGAGATTTTAAAACACTTAATAAGCGCCTTCATCTTTATTAGCGATGTTAAACGTTTGCATAATGTCTACCAAAAACCAATAAAGAACTATTATGCTGACTAATTTTTTAGATAATACGAAAACAATAAAATATTAGCGAACAGAACCTCACAAAGATTCACAGTATAGAGTCTCTAAAATGATTGATCTGGACCACGTATTAGTGCCGTAAAGCAGATTCGTAATACATTGCTGCCAATTTTTACGAAAAAAACCTCAATTTGATTGACACATCTACTCAATATGTTAAGAAATTTGAATAATCTGCCTGTATGTATCCCGTAAATAGTCTTGCCTGCATGTATGGGGACACAAATAGTTTTTTACTTACTTATTTATAAATTTTGGATATATGCCTTATTACATTAATTAATTGGAAAGTAAATAAAAGAAAATACGTCTAATAGTCTAACACTTAAAACATAAATTTACACTTATAATGTTACTGACAATACTGTAAATGTACATAAAAGATGGTAAGTGGTCGTCGATTTCGATTCGACACTCCAATCATCCACAGACCCATAGGTGAATTGGATCATCTCATCATTGGGTTCAGTATGTTTCTTACCCAGCTTTATGTAATGAAATATATGTATCCATGTATATTATTGTCAATAGGTTTAGCCATTGACAGAAATAATTAAATAAATTATTATTTTAAATGATAAACGAGTTAAAACCAACAATAAATTTAAGAAATGTACAAACGATTAGGTTTCATCTAATTAGTATTTTTTTCAGTTTATTGCTTAGATCTTTACTGACCGCGAGGCGCAGTTAGTATAAATCTTGCGGGGAACAAAGCGAGTCCCATTGGTGGTAGATAATGGAAATCACATTGTAACGTAAGGAAGAGCAAAGAGTATGTTTATAGTGATTTTTAAAGTGTTTATTATGCCTAGTGTTCTATACCTCAATCTATCAAACTTTCGTTGGTCAAATATGAAGAAATCAAGTATTAAAAGTATTGCAAGTATAACAAGTAAGTAGGTAGAGATTAATTTACCTGAACCAAAACTGGTTATAAAAAAATTATTGGGTTCCATCTAAATAATAATTGTTTTTACTGTTAACGGTTAAGCTTGGATACAGATTGTTTTGGTAGTAAACTAAAAAGTACAAGGCCATAGCATTTGTATAAAACCTTTGAGAACTTAGTGATGTCGGTGCCTATGACGCGACGCATCGACGGGTAGTGCTGCGCTGCGCGGAAGCCTGCACCCGGTGTCTTTGCCGACAATGCCGACGCCCCACACTACATCAGTTTTTTTCAGATGACTAATCAAATATATATTTATAAACCTGAAGAAACATACTAAAGTTTTTGTTTGAAACATTTTGCGTATTTTATTTGGGAAAAAATATATAGAGGGTAAAACAAAATTGTGTACTCTTAAACATAAACATTGTAAAAAAAAGTTTAAATGTTATATCTCTGTGGATATAGTCTTATAAGAAAATCTGTAGTACAACAGTTGTAGATAAACTAATTATAAAAAATACAAACAAAATTTCACTACGATGGCATGCGTAGATTTGAATTATATCCAGTACAGTGAGCGACTGTAATTTCCAGGTTTTGAGGGGGTTTTTTGGGGGGGGGGTTGGGGGGGGGGGAGAATCGGGAACTTTTAGAAAATACACGTCTTAAGTGGTTCCATCACATATAACAAACTCAGCTTTCCACTATTTAGCTACGAAAAAAGGCAGTTGGTGCGTTTATTGGCTGGGATAGATGCGATGACGCAGCGCAGAGGTGTTCAACTAGCGCGCACGCGCTCACTTTGCCGACGCTCAGCTCTTCACCCGGTCACCTAGATGACTAACCAATAATATATTTGTAAACCTTGAAAAACGTACTAAAACTTTTGTTTGTACCATATTTGCGTATTATTTATATTTAAAAGTATACATAGAGAAAAACATGATTTTGCACTCTGAAACAAAGCTTTTAACGAAGTTTAAATTTTATATCTCCCTAAGTATTGGTTTTAGAAAAATGTTATAAATACAAAAGTTGTAGAAAAACTAATCAGAAATAAAATAAAACAAATTGCAGTTCGATAGCTTACATAACATTCGAATTGTGATCAATTAAGTAAATCACTGCAATTTCTATGTTTGGAGGGGGGTGGGGGGGAAAGCTCAAGGGGTAGAAGTGGGGACTTTTGGGAAAATACACCTCTCATGTGGTTCTATCACATATAAAAAATCCAGCTTTCCACCATTTAGTTGCGAAAAAGGTTGTTTTATTGCATTCATTGACTGGGCTATTTTGACAAGAGTCGACGAGTAATAATTTGGGAATTTGTTTCGCAATACAATAAATTGGTTTGTATTTTGTATACCCATTTTATTTATGTGGATATTTAATGGAATTCTATTTTATGAATAGGTTGAGTCATATAGAACGGTTAACACCAATATTGTATATTTTAATGTCTACACTACCGGTATTTAAGATGAAAGTAATCCAACATTTAAAGGTAGGCGTGAGCTGGTCTATTGGTTAGAGCACGGACTTCAGTCCCTGAGATCCCGGGTTAAAATCCAGCCAAATCACCAATAGATCTTGTCTAAGTGATAATGCCGCAACCTCTAGGTCTAGCCTGAAGTAATGTGAAAAACAATCCCGCATCGTGCCTAGCGTCCTAAGACAAATAAAAAAACCTTTAAAGACCGTTTGATACCCTGAATGTTAAGAGGAAACCCGTCCCTCCCGTGCCGTGGTTTGAGATGCTAACTCTATGGTTAGAAATGCACACCTAATTTTTTAGTTACCTACTAAAATTTTAATATTGAACCACATGATTCTAAATATCGATTTATTTTGGTTGGTAATGCGTTGCGTTTTCACCAGTATATGCTTATTAGATTTTTGGGATTAGATTTCCTTTGAAAATGTATTTAGTTAATAGCTAGACACAAATAAAGTTTATTTGTCTAAAATACAAATTATTTCCCAAGTCGGAAGAGATCAACTAATATCAAGGAGCACAAACTTTGACAATTAATTGTTTGTTAACTTTTAACCCACTACGCATATTTTATCAAAGGATAAGTTTTATTATTCGATATTTCTTTAATTAAAACTTTTGAACGTTTCTTAATTTCAGGCTACTTATCTCAATTAATTATAACTGGAATATTTAGAGTAATTTCGAACTTTTTTATGAGAGTATTTTTTTTTTTACGGTCCTATTCCACAAAGGCAGTACATAAACTATTTTAGCTAAATAGCTGGTTTACATTTTTTTACTGATTTACCAAATTCAATATCGGTGTTTCTTTTACGACACAGTACCTACAATAAAATAATAGACAGTGTAATAAAAAAAAGTTTAAAAGACACAAAATTTTAGAATTCATTTCCTACTACTAGAACGTCAAATAATAAATATTAATGTTACCTTCTGGTTTTCCTATTCGCTGTCAATTTTGTGACGCGTTTCGTCAACGCAGTGCCATCTTCAGACGTCCACTAATAGATGTGTCATAAATAAATGACACAGTTACATCACACATTTTAAACGAGTATACACATACATTTAACCAGTATTGCCTAGTTGCACAATCCCTCGTACGCGCACGAATTCTGGTCGACGACTGCACGAGCGTTGTCTGTGGTGTACTTTGCCCCATGACGTCGTTGCTCTTTTCCAGGCGTATCGCAGAGGCAAACAGTGCATTTCCTTGACTGATTACTTTATCATTCAATGTAATTCCTTGTTTGCACAGTATTGCCTTATAAATCTAATAACACTCGAAATTGTAAACAATTAATAGCTTTTCTTGCACTTGTGTTATATCTGCAATGATCCGAGATGGACTTGTAAGGATGGTCCAGTGTTGAACGATCACAAGGATAGTGACTTTTTGCAGCATCGGACTTTTGACCTTAATCGTCATGTGAGCATTATAACCTAGATACCTAGCTTTAAACATATAATTTTATATACAAATATGTATGTATTTTATTAAAACTGCATTAGCCTTTTAGTCCCCGTGAGCCAATATTTATGCTGGCACGTAGAAAAACCTCAAGGTTAAACACAAGTTTCATTGTAAAAAGAGACAAAACATCAATTCTAACACAATATTTAATCCAATCAGCACTTGATTTTGGCTGTCCACACTTGACAAATTTCGTAAAATATGCTTATTTTATAATAGTGTATCAAGAAATGTTTTAAGTGTTACTTAGAAGTCTTCGTCACCCCCAGGTCCTCTGTAGACTCCACATCTCTCCTCTTTGAACGGCTTGTTTTTTACTTCACAATTCATCTTCTTGCTCTCCTCCTTAGCCAACCAAATGTTCACTGCAGTTTTTCCAGCCAAGCAGGTCGGCGAAGAGGGAAATAGTTTCTGTATCACGTAACTAATATTATCGACTCGATTACAATGGTTTGAAAACATTTAAATGGAGTTTAAAAGCTAGTATCGATCGAGTAAAAACAGGACTGCAGTGAATACTATTTTTGATACATACAACTTTTGACATAAACAACTTCCCTTATCATTAACATTAATCCTAATAATCGATCGTGCACAAGCAGCTATGAGTTCATTTTCATAATATTACAACCTAGTTCTCTTTAAAAATTAGTAGATAAATTCGTCATCAGCTTTTCCATAGCCTTTATTATATTGGATATCGAGTGGGTATATTAAAGTGGGTGCGAAAAGCGTGTGAATAATCCGGTTAGTACTGTAGCCTGTAAACGCACATGGGTCAAAATCCGTTACGTACCCAAAACTAGATTTTTTTCCATCTATAAGTTATTGAAACCTTTTATAGGTATAAATAATGAAAAGTATTTAGAGAAGGTTTTTGATCAAACGCTATATAAGTTTGGAGAAAACACAGAAAATAGTAGAATTGCTACTGAAAATTTTAAGCTGTTCGAGAAGTTTGGTTGGTTAGGTTCGATCAGGTTAGATGACATTGTTCTAACCTAACCTATCCCAACCCAACTTCTCGAATTTCTTTTGTAACTGAACAAAAACTGAGTTTTCAATTTTTGCTACAAAGTTAAACAGTGATTCATTACCGAGTTGAGAGCACTTAACGGATTTTGACCAAAAGCTGTTTTTGTTATATTTCTAGAATGATTTAATTAATATTGACAGCTTGCTGATTAACAAGTACATTGACCAATGTAAACAAGCAATTGAGTAATGGTAAACATCACTGCCAGAAAAAAGCACACATGAGGGTTGTGTCATTTAAACCCAGCTAACTGGATAAAATTACATTGTTAGATTAACGAAAACCATCTTTCAGCTGGGTTGAGGCTCTAGTAAACAAATGGACGTGTTCTAAAATACCTCATCTAGCTTCAGTGTGCGTTCAAATGTGGTTTTTATGTATAATAACTCCTTTTCCAATGTAATTGATTATTTAATTTTAAATAGTTGTAGAAGAGTGCTAACTTTCTAAGGCCCCAATATTTCAAAAATAAAAATAGACCTTAATAGTTTTTTAAAGAATTTCAACCACTGTAATTACAAATAAGTTAAAGAAATTAGACTCTTGATTTGAATTATTTTCAAAACCTTTACGTTAATATTCTTAAAAAGAAAATACTAAATATCAACCAATATATCTTGTAAGTAAGTACGAAGATAACACTACATTAATAATTCAACCAGCAATAAAACTACTTACAATAAACTGCCATTTAAAGTAAACATATTTTTCAGACACAATATTTCTTTCATAATACTGTGGTTAGAAGAATCACCTTGAGCTATTATGTAATTATGTTTTGTAATGCTTCTAGTAACACGTTCCGTTAACTACAGTGCTTAACCAAGTTTACAGCTCATATATTATATATAATAATGTAGAAACGTAATTTAAACTGTATGGTAATCTTATTTATGGCATTTTTCACAAATAGATTTTTAGCCGTTTATTTCCTAACACTAAAATATCCATACTATTAAACATTTTCCAGATTATTTCTACAGATTATCTTTCTACTGTTTTTCTCTTACCTCAAGGTCACTTTTTCCATAACGGTCTTTGTTTTCGAGAGCTTTACTTCCTTCTACGTCACTTGCTGGGACCAACCATCCAAAACCCAGCAGGTTTCCTTTCTGAATTTCGTCATACACCAAGAAAAAGGGGTTGTCGCAGGTGCTACTGGGGTCCTTAAAGGGTGCCAGCACCAAACCTATAAATAATACAGTACGTATTAGCATAGCCTCTACTACTAGTGCAATGCCACGGCGTCGGTGTGTGGCAACGTCGCACCGGCCTATTGCCATGGTGCGTTCCATTATGAATCAGTACCACAGTTGTTTCAGTAGGCCGGGTTTGCGGCGTTGACACGTCGTGTTGCATTGGCTTTGTATTTGAGGCGAAGATATTGTTCAAGCCATTAAATCATTGTAATATCATAGCCAGTTAAACAGTCTGATCCTTAAAACTTATATTTTCTTAAGTTATGCGTGGCTCTTATCTTTGTAGACAAATATTACCTATATACCATCTACATCCGCATTTTAGAGTTGAGCCAGCCCACCTGGTAAAATCGTAGACGATTTACTACTGTATGTGAACCGTGGCCTTAGTTACAGCTCATCAGACTGTTCCGAGACCTGTTCCCACTTGGATTTTCAGTAATTGCAAATACAACATAAGTGCGAGACCAATTGCTACCTTTTTACTGCTCTCTGATCAGAGTTTAAGTTTTCTTTAAGACTGGTCGCCATTTTGGATAATTTCAAACAGCTGCTTAAGAGTTATTTGGCATGCCAACATATTTGTTTCAAATACCAAAGTGATTGTAATTTAAATATCTAGGACACTGAGATCTGAAATTACCTTTGTAGTTTTGCAATTGTTGATGAGTTAGAACAGCTAGACTCCAAGGACTCGGGTTTTCTCTCTATTAAATATTTGGTCCTGTTTCTAAAAATGGGGTTTCAAATAGTGTTTTAGATTTTAAAGCAATTTAGAGGCAAACTAAGCTATATTCAAACTAAAAATATATTTTCAAATGTTTAGGTTTGCAGTATTTTGATTTACCGTGAGTGTCTTCGCATCGTTTCTCAGCAAAAATATTATCATCAAACTTGAGTTGTGCGCATGCTTCTCTTTGGATTCTTGTCTCTTTTCCTGTTTTATCCAGCAAATAAATAGTGTCTATTATTTCGTCATCTGCATTGACTCTTCTGCCACCACCTTTTAGAATATCTGAAAAATAACAATTAATTGTGATTAAGGCATAGGTATTTTGGAATCAAAACTATCATGGACAATTTTCTACCAAAGTGGAAAAATAACGTGGACCTAACCACCAGTTCATTTCATCCTTTAACATTAACAATAAAGCAAACAACATCTTTCATCTAAAGCAGAATCGATTTTATATGAATGTTTTGTGCACAATAAGCTGTTCTAGCTGCGATGCAATCCCATGGCAACTTGTAAGCCTGGCCCTCTGTAAAAAAATATGCATGTTTAGATATGTTGAACCATCGTTAAGACAACCAAACCAATAACGGTGTTGACAACAATTTCAGATTACTTAATAACCTCTTTATTTGTTTAGGTTCTGTAAAGTCCCAATGAATAATTACATGTTCATCATATTACATTATATAAATAATAGTTACAAAAATTTTGTTTAATAAACACCCTGCATCAAGACTATATTATTTTCATGTAATTTCCAACCAGCCAAAGTAATAAAAAAATTTTAGCTGTAAGTTGTGTTGTTTATTGCTACAACTTAATAATTAATTAAGTATGATTCTGCATCAATTTAGCTACAATAGGTATTTTACCTGAATCAGTTAAAATTACTGTGGCGACGTACACGGTTTTGTCTTTGTTGTCAATTTTAATAGATTTCTCCAGGAAAAGCTTGCTGTTCTTGTAGAAGACATCATTTGAATCTTTTGGAATCTGTAAACAAAAACCAATCATACATCAAACGTTTATGAAAACCGTGTAATATTGTTAAATGTTAATATCCTAAAATTATTTTTTAGTCAACGTCAGGCATATGTTTCACTTAGAGCATACATAAATACTTCTAATACCTTAATATCCTATGTTGATTGGTAATGATATGATTTAGAGATAACAAACCATTTGGTCTATAGTCTGCGCTCATAGTATACAGTCGGTTGAAGGCTGGAAACATTTAATTTCAAATCCTAGCAAGGTGCTTAAAGTAACTCTCGTATTAAATGCCTACTGTCGACGGATTATACACTCTTACACCATTCAAACAATTAAACCAATCATACTAACATAGTCCTACTCTTGGAAAAAAGTAACAGTGCTAGAAGTAAAAGAAAATAATAAACAGATTATATTTTTGTCACTATTTGTATAAACTTGCTTTTGGAAGGTCTAGAGTTTTGTCCTTGAGTTTTATTTTTATTTTTTATTTTTGTATTTGAACCTTAAAATATATACATAATTTATCTCTCCGTTACTATCACTGTAAGTAATACTGCCAATGCTGTCCTCTAAGTGTCTTAGTAATATTAATATTTTATATATGGTCACTACTTCCTAAAATAGTAGACAACTGTAAGAAATTACTTTTGCTTTGATTCTACATTTTTATCTCCAATTTACGTTTGTGTATGATTTTTTTCTATTTAAATGTATTAATTAAATGAATAGGCCGTGATTCTAGTTTTATATCAATTATACCTAGTTATTGTTCAGATTTTGTTAGGATGAGATTGTGAGAGTTTTGATATTGTTTATTGTTTCAAGATTGCATTTTTAATATAGCTAAAAATTATACGGTACGAATTTCAATGCAATTCTTATCAGGCTTACCTAACCAAAAGATTGCGAAGGGATCTGTTTTTTTTCAATAATTTAAAATCTTATTATTGGCTTGCCACTGTACACGGCCGCCTTTAACTCCAGGCCGCGGCCTGGTAGAATCGGCAACATCGCAAGTAGGGTTGTTTAGTGACAGACGTCCCATAAGATAACATGGCAGACAGGTGACATCAGCTCATTAATTCGCACTTCTTTGTTTTAAATTTAAATTTATGACTTAAAATTTATTAAATTATTGAAAATAAAACATACAGAATTGAAAACCGAAACAATATGAATTAAAATCTATATTTGTACATGTTTAAGCGGAGTCAAGTAACCAGGCTTTCGTAATAGCTATTTACCTTACAAGTGTAGTAAGAGCGTTTTTACATCACGCAGGTGAATGTAATTTTAATGTAATTTACCTAAGTGATGTAAACACGCTCTTGCGTAACGTGTAACGTACAAGATTTTACCTGACCCGACAATATACAGGAGGTTACGAACAATATTTTTCACTATCCATTTCACTCATCTTCTAACAGTAACGTTTATTTACAAATAAAAGCTAGGTTAGGAAAATTCTTCAAAATATAACAATAAAATTCAAGCGCACAGCTGATTTCTAGCGTTGAACGTCTTTGGCTCCATAGAGGTATATTTTTTTAGCTAAGCACTCAATGTTATTTAAATGGGTTTCATTACCTCACCGAGTGAGTTTTTTTTTCAACTTTACATCACTCGAGAACTAAAGAAGTTGTATACATCAAAACATCACGCTTGGGATAAAGAAGTATAACATGGCGGGTTAGGTAAATACACAAATACCATTAGCTGCTTCCAAACAAAACAGCTGTTACAACACCACTTGCAACGTTTCCAGTTCGAAGGCCGCGACCTGGAGTTAAAGGCGGCCGTGCACTGTACCCAACCATCCTTGATCAGCTGGGAATAAATAATTCTGGCAAGAGAATCAGATGATCTTAAGTCAGTAGCAATGATATCTCATCCATTCACTCATAGGCCACTCACCTTCGCTTACACATTCTGGTATATCAGCGGCGTAGACATCTAATCTAAGCTAAACTAATATAAGATAACAAAAGCTAATTCAAGTTAAAACGCTAATTTAAGCTAATTTTCAGCTAATATGCTAATTAAAAATTATTTAAGCTAATCGAAGTTAATAAAAGCTAATCTAAGGTAATAAAGGCTAATTTAAGCTAATGTAAACTAATTATAAAACATAAAAGCTGATATAAGTTAATAAAAGATAAGAAAACTACATAAAAAACAAAGTCCTCACCGCTAGTCTCACTCCCGCCAAAACGTCCTTTTTGTCGAACGCCATCTGTACAGGAGAACCACCTTTGTTGAACCACATGATGTTAAACTTTGTGTCCGTTTCCACATTTTTCCATCCTTTTTCTTTAGCAATCTGTGCATTCTTTGGAAGCTCGGTATCTCCATCTGTTTGTTTTGAACAAGTTTTATTTTAGTTTACGTTTTAATTACCCAAGACAATTACAAGATACTTGCTAAAAAGTGAAGGATTTGGGCGAGTGCAACATACGAATCTCTAAATTTACCAATTCCTTCAACAAACCTAATACACGTCATTTGTGCATAAGCAAATGTGACACTTGGATAATTTGCAATACAATATGAAAAAAAAACACGAGGAGGCTTGTAAAGTCACTGGTAGATTCAAATATTTTTACAGTTTTTTACAGTTTCTTTATGAGCTGCATCGCTGCATATAAAAACCCAGCAAGTAGCCTGCAAACTCCCCCGTAAGATCAAGCTTTAATAAACAATTTTATGGATTGCCATTTTTTTTAGTTATAATAGAATAAATCTGAAATGCTTGCACATTATTTGGAACTCAAAACATGGAAAATGTTATTTTTATTGAGTTCTCTCTTATTTTAAAACTTCTTATGGGAAACATTTTTTCTGATAATCCATTTAACACTGGTGCATTTCTTTAAATTAGTGAAAGTATGAATAAACTATCTAAAGAGATACAGCCCAGACGATAATTAAATATTTTGAAGGACTTAAACGAATCGAGGATTTTTTAATCACTACCAAAACAGACATGTTCAATTTGCTATACTATAGTAAGTTAATAATTTCATTTTGCTAACTAGTTATGTGAAATAATGTTTCTCCTGATCAAGTCATGGTAGACAACATTGTAACATAGGGTATAATTTAGTTAAATTAATATGATTTGTATAAACTCTGTTAAATCAATATACACACTGCTTCTTGATTCAATTTAAAGTTTAAAAGTACAAGAGGTGGGTTCTGTACCCAAATGGAAAACGAGATAAGTTTGTAAGCTATTAAGAAAATTCAAATTTAAACTTTAATAGTCCAGGCAACGAATGCTAAAAAAAGGGTATAGAGGGAAATGTTTGGAACACAATTTCTGACTTCGTAACTTTGTTTAGTATAGTTAGGAGGTTAACATACCAAAAGTCCCCGCCTCTAGCCCTTGTGCTGTGGGGGAGGGGGGGGCTTGAAGGTACCATTTTTCGGTTTTTTGCTAATATCTCGGAAACCATGCGTCAAAGCGAAATTATGCTAATATACAAAATGAAAGCTTATTAAATTTCCAGAAAGTTTGTAATTTACTATTTTTTGATATCTTGTATGGTTTTCGTGTTATTTGCCATCCAAATTTTGTAAATTTGGAAAAATACATTTTTTCCTCATGTTTTTTGTCCTTTTTGACAAGTTGCCTCTCAAACTATGCACCCAAAAAATAAATGCTGGGCATAGGGTTGTAGAGAATTAAATTCCCTTCAATAATATATATGACTTTACTAGTTTACCTCCTTCCGTTCAGATTTTAAAGCAAATTAACTTTCAGTATAAAAAAAAATTAAATTTAATTAAAATTTAATTAAAATCTAGTGTTGAGCAAGGAATTTGAAGTCTTGCAACAGCTGTTGACTACTTAATATTTCAGTTTATCACCTTACAAAGTCAACTAATTGGTTGGTATATTCACTATCATGTAGCTAAGGTAAGTGATGGGCGTCTAAAAATAGCACAGATACACTATAGAAAATATATACTTAAGGGCTGCCTAACCAGCTTCCTCACACTTGATGATCTAGCTAGACTATTGTAATGGGAAAATATGGTGTTATAACCATGTTTAGGCATATAAGAGTGTCTATATGACACTGGAAACCAATCACAACCATAAAATTGAAACCAAGACAATTGATATGTTTAAGTAGGAATTAACATAAAACATTACATTAGTGAGTAGCCTTAGCCTACTATTGAATCAATTCAGCCTTGCTATCTTAGTTTGGAAAGGACCCATCCTTATAATCGTTTTTATCCTCTTATTCTCTAAGAAAGAAGGTAAGGGACATTTTTTTCTGGCACCTTAAGCTATCTTAACAAGGATTAGATGATATTTTGAACGCAATTCTACTGGATGTGACAAAAAATCTTCAGCATTTGAGAAAAGCAAGGTTGCTTATGCGAAGTTGTATCTGAATCCCCCAGTGGCCCAAAATGCATCATCTGTCTTTCACGCCCCCTCAACAACACCACCCAAATACAAAAGGTAGGAAAAATGTACATCTTGATTTGATATGGGCTTCAGCGAGAGAGGTATCGTGCACTTTAACTTCAATCCATACAGGCACAAGTCAATTTTTAAATCGACGGTCTCCATCAAGCCTAATCTCTTGTCTTCCTCCGACTGATGGTGCTTTCAAACATCGTTTCCTATCATGTACATTCCAAAAGGTTCAGCTGTGGCTGGGAAATAACCTGCCTTCTCTTATGTAAGAGTGGAAAAGAATAATAAAAACTCTGTAGTAACAGAGTACACTCAGCATGAAACTACACTGAAGGATATCCTCAAAATTGTTTTCTGCCTATGCACATAAAACTGTACTCGTGCAAAATCAGGTAGCAAAAAAGCAAGCCTAAAATAAGTATGCCAAAAATGTCAAAATGTTGTCCCTGGGAAAGATGACTAAGAATATGAAGAAAAACAGTATACCTATTTCCAAAATAGGTCCGATGGAGAAAAAAAGGATAAAAATGATGAGGATGGTAGTCCTTATTAAACTAAGATA